GCTTCCAGGTTTTTGCAGACGCTCTGCACTCTTTGGTGAGGCGCTAAATTGTGTTCCATAGCGCAGGTGTGTAGCACGCCAATGTGCCCATCCGTGCACCATTAATAATGTATATAGAATAGAACAAACCTACTTTTTAAAAAGGGTTAAAACGAACTCTTTTTATGGGGATAAAATAACCCTTTTTAAGGACGTTGCTGATCTTTGTGGATTGATGTCAAGGGAGACTTTCCTGGATTATTTTTGTTATTATTGTGATCATTGAATTGATTAGTTTTCTTGAGTTTACCCTGTATCATTTGATATTCTTTTTGGACTTGTCTTTTGAACCTGTAAATTCTTGTTTTTGAATATATTTTTGGTCTCATTTGACTGTTTCCCTCTGTGATTCCAGGTGCTGAGGGCCTCACTGGTGAACCCTTTTTGGTGAAGGTGTCCCCTCGTGTGCAGTGTCTTATTCACTCCCTTTTTGCTTTACCCTTGTGTGTGTTTTGGAGTGTTAAAGAGTGGATTGTCTGCTCCCATTTTAAGTTTATACCTTCACCCCCACGAAGGCCCCAGCCCTGGGAAAAACACGTTTACCTTTTGGACAGATTTTAATTGTGTTTATTGTGGTTGAAATAAACTTTGTATATTTCTTTTGGAAACACGTGTGTTGTCCTTTTGCTTAAATTTAGAAATTTACTTTATTCATAGATTTTTGTTCTTTCTTTTTTCCTGGGTTACCTCCCGGGCTGATTTTCTTTTTTCCCTTATTTAGAATACAAACGATCGGGGCAGTCTTCCCCGACCTCACGCTTGCCACATTTGCTTGCACAAATTAGGCCAAGAAGCACGCAAGGGGGTTTCTTCGTTTGTCCTGCGATTATAAAATATTGAAGCTCCGTTGGCACCTCACGACGTTTCCAAATTTCCCGCAGGATCATTCGCTGTTTGACAGCGTCCAACTCGTGAATCGTGTTCTTATGTAGTATTCAAACGTGTCATCCCACTTTGCGCCATCACTTGCCATTCATTTACATAAGGACTCATGATTCATTGTTTATTCATTGAAAACTTTCTGTCAATGTCATACCAAGTAATAAACAACGTCACGCGTCATCTGTTTAGGGGAGTGATGTTTCCTGCCGGACCTCAAAACTTCAACTTCAATTTCTATGTGCGCAACACCACCTGGAATGCGGACACTGGCGCGCACACGGTCCGAGAGAGTACGCACATGGCGCAAGATCGTGAGGAATCTCCCCTGCGGCAATGGTGCGCGTTCCTCTCTCTACACACACTTATTTTGCAAACGCTGCGGGAGAGGTCCTAATACCGTAATTCATCAAACCATCGCACGCGCAACGCAAACGCACCTGCAGAAGCAACGCGCAGCCAATCAGAACATCAGCACGAGCTATTGGAAATAACTTCACTCACGCTGAAAGGCTGCTCCTCATCTGCTCCGGGACCCAGCGACACCGGCGCGCTGACAGGGGACATTTTCCTCCCCTTTTAAAGTGCGTGTCATAGCCGGCTCGTGCAACCGCTGGTCAGGTCCCCTCCGATGAGGCGCGGCGAGTCCGGCTCGGTCCGGCCCGGCCTGGATCGGTTCCGTTCGGCTCGGCCCAAGTGTTCCGCGCCGCGTCGGGCTGCTGGCTGTCGGCACAAGGCTGCGCACATTTGGGCCGCGTCTCCATCAGAGGTCTGCCTGTGCGGTCCTGCCGTTTCATTGTATCGTGTTGATGTGACACGCTCAGGCCTCTGTCAGTGGAAACTTAAAGGGACCTCCCACGTGACAGCGCTTTGCGCGCTCACGACGATCTATGCGCGTCCCGCGGAAATAAGACGCCGCGCAGCTCATAAAAGTAAAGCAACGGGCCGTGGACCTCGCAGACTGGTTTTAGTGGGTTTATACGGAAATGGTTCTTAAGATGAGGACGGTTATTAGGGACTATAATATAATAATGCTGTGATGAACATACTTGTTTTGATGCTAGTGGTGGTTTGGGGACGAGGAAGAGGATGAGGATAACCGGCATTTTATGTGTTGATGATGATGATGATGATGATGATGATGATGATGATGATGATGATGATGATGATGATGATGATATAACATCTTCCGCCGCAAACTAAAACATCTTCAGACTCTACCTTGACTAAAAAGACTAACAAGTTGTAGCACTTATAAATTACTTATAATGGCTCTATAGCATGTTGTAGATCGGCATATTTGACGAAATTGCACTGTCTTGTTTCTTGTTCTTTTGTGTTTTTTTGTTCTTATGGTTGAAATGCACTTATTGTAAGTCGCTTTGGATAAACGCGTCAGCTAAATGAAATGTAATGTAATCAATATTGATAGCTGTCTGTGTATGTGATCATGCTGATCAACCATGAAAATGGTGTTGGTGGACGCTGAGGCTGATTTCTTTCTTTCAAAGTGAGCTCATGCCGTGTGACCTCATCATAGGGTGACTAACCTTGTGGGGAAACAGATGATCTCATGACAGAGACGGTCAGACAGACGCATCAGGCCGTAAAGTATAAAGTCACTCGGTTGTGATCAGCATATTTAAATATTTTTAATCATTCAAATTCTTTCTTGTCGACCATTTGCTCTTGATGGGAAACCTTCTCTTCCAGGACTAAAGGACTAAAATACATGCAGATTACATTCAGCCTTATATGAACAGTGCCCATTGATTTTAAAACAATGTACTACTTCTTTGGAAAACAGCCATGAGTGATACTGAATAAAACATACCAGAGGTATCGGGTAGGACTAAAACAAATTACGATAGGGGCCCTTTGAGCATTTGTAAACTTTGCACACACTAGAAAACAATATTAATAGCGGGGGAAATTGTGCCTCAGGGGAGAACCGGGTTGTCCTTCAATCAGAGGGTCGGTAGTTAGATCCCAGTTAGTTTGCTCGTCGGCATGTCGATGAGTCCTTGGCAAGACACCTAAACCCCAAATTGCTCCCTTAGATGTGATGGTGTGTGAATGTTCGGTCCTGATGGGCAGGTGGCTCTGTGTATGATAGCTCCTGTTATCAGTGTGTAAATCAGTGTGAATGGATGAATGATGGCATGTAGGGTTAAAGTCCTGCAATGTGTAATATGGCCACATGCTCTAGAAATAGAGCGTAGCATTTGTTTTTCCCCTGTGAGTGTGATTGTCTGTCGTGCCTCTGATTGTTTCCTCCTGTGGCCAATAACCTGCACCTTCCCACTGTATTTAAACCACGTGTGTCCCTGGTCTCCTTGTGGGTTTGTTAATGAATGTTGGTGAATCTGGCTACGGAGGCCGTGTTACCAGCTACATCTTTCTGCTGTGATCTCTTGTGTTTTTCCCTGTGACCAGGGTGCACAGAGGTTTTTTCCCTGGGCTTGTCCTTGTTGCTCCCAAGCAATCTTTTTCGTTTTCTTTTTTTAAATTAAGCATTTTTTGTGTAAAGAGTAACAAGTCTGCGTTTGAGCCCTGATCGCCAACTGGACGTCTCTGAAACGATGGGATTGGTTGTTATGGTATGTTATTACAGTTGTTATGTGGTCAGTCATTAGTCATCTTTTATACCGCTTATCCTCTTACAAGGCCGCGGGGGGGCTGGAATCAATCCCAGCCAACATCGGGCAGGAGACGGGGCACACCCTGGATAGGTTGCCATGTCAATGGTAGGGCTGACACATACAACCTCAACTAAGGTCTTTTGTTGCCTAAGCCCAACAAGTAATTTCACGATGTTAACCAGGGGGCATTGTGCGCCTCTGGAAGGCTGATATGAAACAAATTCAAGCTGCAGGCGGCTGCTCCATACTGCTAACCAACAGGAAGCAGCATATGACTTACAGGCCTGGTCAGGTCTCTGTGTACATTGTACATTTTTACATTGTACTGATATTAACATTGTTAATCATTGTCCTTGTCATTAGTCTATTGTGCATTTTGACTCTTCTTTCATATTATATCAATGAACAAAAGTTGTAATAAATATGCAAATTACATTCTAACGAGGTGGAGTGGTTACAAAAAACGAAATATTGACCTAGAAAGCTGGGTCGTTTATTAGTTTAGCTCACAATTAGAATAGCCAAACAATACAACGTGCGATCCGTATTGGACACCTAATTTGAAATAAAGTGTGATGAAATTTAATGCAAGTAATTAAAAAATACTGTGTGTTTGTTCTCTCTTTGAGTGGAGGACAAGGAAGAGGAAATGCTGCAAATAAAATGTTCCAGTTGACTGGGAAAAAAGTGGCATTCACATCATCGTTAGATGACTCATCCACACTGATGATGTGGTGAAACATTGAGATCACCCAGAGACAAAACATTTATTAATTCACTTTGTGGCAACATATATGTTGGGAAGTCGTATTACAGTAAGTCGTCTCTTCTTCAGATTACTTAAAAAAATATTGCTGTGGATATTTTATCAATAAATTCTTTCCAGTTATAAGTGAACCGTATTACCAACCAGGCTGTGCATAAAGGTAGTTCAACAGGGCCCTTAAAAAACCCAGAGTCACTGTTTGGCAATTTGGTTTCCTATCCAGTTGATAGGCTATAAGCTGACATGACACAAGCTTTAAAGCTGCACTGCTTCTTTACATGAATTTGAGGCTGTGTCTTGAAGATTGTGTGTCAAGCATCCAGCGCTTACTTTCTCAAAGCATTTTTTTTCATACAAGACGCCCGACAGCTCAGTTGCCTTCCAGGGAAGTTAATCTGGCCACAACGATACAGTGATCTCTAATGATGGTTCTAGAAATCTGGTGATTACTGTTTTGTTTTTCAAATATGAAAGAAATTTGATGAGGTTGAGTAGTTTGTTTTATTATTATTGAATTATTTGGGAACCGACTTCTTAAACTATAGTTTATAAAGTCAAAAACACATATGATAGCTGATGTGTTATCAATACGAATATGGGGAATATGGCGTTACTGTCCTCTTCCTCGGTCAAACAGAAGCGAACACGTTGTACTGTCTCTTTAAGGGCCGTTACCGCTTCTTCCCCGCTGGCCTCCCGCTACTTGTTATTTTGTGCAACAAGATGGCTGTCGTTCCTGATAGCGGAGTCCTCACTTTCAGCATTTTTAAATGGAGCTCTTACTCCTCTACATATTTACCCGAGTGAGTAATGCACAAATTAGGTGGTCCGCCCTATGCATTAGATTTTGTAGACACAAGGGATGTTTTATCGCTTCAATGCACCAACGTTTGTCCCAACCGACCCGACTGGCCTAGCTAGCTCCTCTGCGACCCGCGCCAGCTAACTAGCGTTAGCCTTGTTAGTGGCGGTAGGGGCGTTGGGTGTTGATACGTTGTCGCCCTATGGTGATGGTGGTGTTTATTTTTCAAACCATTAGTGGTACTTTCTGAATGATTGCGTGTTTGAGGGGACGACAATAAGATCTCTCTTCGGATACGCGTAGTTACTTGCAAGTCGTTTAGATTATTCAACAGAAAGCAATCCGTATCTTAGGCACTGCTGTTAAATAACAGTGCGCGAGATATCATTTTCTTCTCTTGAGAAAAGCCTGTGTTTCATCATCAACGTCCATTGCTTTGAACTGCCAGTTGTTCAATTTGTTACAATCCCGAGATAATAACCCGTCAAATGACAACCGCATTATCAGTTTGATTCAGCATGTCTGTCCGGCACCCACATTTGTAAGAAACGAGCGTCCCCGTCAGGTAACTACATTTTTATTCCGGAGCCAAAGTAACTAACTTGGCTGCTGTTCGTTAACCAAAGGGGTCCGCTTTTAGCAGCAATAGCTAACGGCCATATCCACCGGCTACTTGTAATATGTGTTGGAAAACAGATGGTTGGAATGGCGTGAACAGCACCCCTTCTAAGTTCAAGTCACGTGAGTGAAGTCACGCATAGTTTCAGAGCATTCGGCTAGTTCAGCATTCGTACAGGCACACGTTGAGTTAGCTGGAGCTGATACCTACTAACAACTGGCTGCTAGCTTAAATTAACACTACTGTACTAACTAACACCGACGTGCATCAATTGAATGGATTTCGTTGATCTGATAGCACAATCTAGCTGGCCTGCATAAGCAAAGTTGGTATTGCTACATGATTCATTTGCTGTTCGAGCTACTAGTGTACAGACACAATCTTTCATGCCCATATACACATACACACGTCTATTCTGCTCCCATAGTGAATTCTGATTACTGGATCCTGGCTTTGGATAAACACGGTCCACTGTCTCCAGTTAAGTGCTGCCGTTATGCTCCAAATTAACTCTATGGTTTCTTTGCGGGTGTTTTTTTTTAGGAATATCTTGGTGGACAAACCCAATGATCAATCTTCCAGGTGGTCTTCTGAAAGCAACTACCCCCCACAGGTAGGCCCAATGCTGCATCAGCAAACTGTCCCTTCCCTTGACCTCACGGTGGACCTCACAGTGGAGTTGTCAGTCTGCTTGTGCCTTAACTGGATTTCTGGGAGGCTTGTGTTTTGTTTGTTCATACCGTACGTGTATGAAATATGATCATCAATTCAGTTTGTTCCCACACCTCTCCGGTTTCTTTACCAGCACATTTAGCCTCTCTGATAATAAGTCCTTCATTTGATTGACAGAAAAAAAGTGCCCGCTAGTTGACCTTAGACATGGGTGGAATTTTACTGAATTGTTAGGATGCCAGTTAAACTTGCAACAACAACGATGAGACAAAAGTCAAAAAATTCCGATGCATCTTAGGGGCTGAGGGAACATAAAGTCTGAGTGAACACCTAGGCTCAGGGAGCGTAGGAGCTGTGGGAACATACAGTTTGAGGGAACATAAGGACTTTGGGAACATGGGGGCTGAGGGAGCGTAGGAGCTGTGGGAACATACAGTTTGAGGGAACATAAGGACTTTGGGAACATGGGGGCTGAGGGAGCGTAGGGGCTGTGGTAACATACAGTCTGAGGGCATAAAGACTCAGGGAACATGGGGGCTGAGGGAGCGTAGGAGCTGTTGGAACATACAGTTTGAGGGAACATAAGGACTTTGGGAACATGGGGGCTGAGGGAGCGTAGGGGCTGTGGTAACATACAGTCTGAGGGCATAAAGACTCAGGGAACATGGGGGCTGTCGGGACATAAAGCCTAAGAGAACGTATAGCCCATAAGGGCCTGGGGGAACATGACGTCTGACTTAACATGAAGTCTGAGACCGTAAATGGTGAGGAAACGGGGCTCAGGAAAAAGGGGTTATCGGAAAATATAGTCCGACTGAGAGTATAAAATCTGAGGAGACATGCAGCAAGTTTTTTGTCATCGTGTATTTTGATTATCATTGATTAAAAATTAGTCTGTTATTCCTAGAGCAGTAATTCCCAAAGTGTGGGCCGCGAAGGTACTGCAGGTGGGCCGCGAGAGGTCATTTACAATAAATAAAAAGTTTTTAATTTTCAATTTTGAAAAGTTTGAAATTAATATAAAAATATGTATGATGCCGCACGTTAGTTATGTGAAACATTAATTGATGAAGCACAAACAATTTAAACAAACAGATTAATCGGTTGATCCATACTGGTTGCACACGGCGCTCAAGGCGCTCTGCCAAACATGCCAAAGCTCGGTCTACGATGGCGAGATGCTGAGCGGCGCTCAAGCGCGTGAGGTATGGAGCTTGTTTCAGGGCGCGTCGGAGAAACAAAGCTGTCGTTCTCGCCGAGCACTTCACGAGATTAAAGAGCGAGAGACTGTGCCCGTTTCTCTACAGACGCACCTCGCAGCAATCGCACTCTGGAAGTACCGTCTCCTGATTTACGCGCGCGCATCAACCTGATTTGCGCTCTCTAATTTTGACAGTGATTTGCGCTGATAGTTTAGACTGCAGTATCTTATGCGCCTTATTGTGCGGAAAACACGGCACATGAGCTCCGGAGAAAATGGTATTCAAAACATACATTATCGGTTAATACATTTTTAATCGGTTAAATTCTTACGGTCATTTAATCATCCCTAGTTTATGTTTTGATCAGAGTTGTGATTAAAGGTTTGGGTGGGCCGCAAAAGATTTTCAGATTTCAAAGTGGGCCGCGGCATTCTTGAGTTTGGAAACCACTGACCTAGAAGATATAAATCAACACAAAACAAAGGTTAACTATGTCCAAGCCACTCTCAAAAAACAAATGCGGAACCAAAAATAAATATTGGTATGAAAACTGAACTGCTTAGTTGAATAAAGCTTCAACAAATATATATATATTCACTTATTTCTTTTTTGGCACAATGCTGAGGTAGGAACTAACTAGTTTAAATGTATCTCCTACCAAACGGTTCATTCACAGTACATTCCAGGCAAGATGAAAAAATAAGACTCATGTATTTAATTGTTCAGAGGGGAACACCCAATGTTGGCTCACTTTGGTTCCTCCATCAACCGCAGTAAAAGGTATTGATGTTGATATGCAATAAATACTACATGATTTGTTTTAAGTAACAGAAAGGGATAGGAACGTACAAGTGTTAACTTCACACCACTTTTTTAAACATAAATATTCCTATGTATTCATTTTGGAATTCGTAGATTACTGTTCATTTGTTTTCCTCTTTATTATATGTTGACATTGAATATCTGCCGAACTGTTATGAGTTGAACATACAAGTCATATCGGTAGGATCAGAATGTACTAATGCTTGTTGACTCAGTGCCTCACAGTAGAATTCAAACATCTGTCTCTTGGTTTTACAGGCTGTCAGTGTAGTTCATGAGGGGGGGGTCTAACGCCTGCTTTCAACTGGGATGTTGTATCCACGTTCCGACCTGTTTGCTCGCCACTGGCTCAGGCCTAATGGCCGCTAGTGATGTGTCAGTAGGTGTTCTGTCTTGTTACAGCACCAGTGCCTTCTGGATGCAGCTCATAGAATGTGTGTAACTCTAATAACCCGACGGACTAAATCGACAGTGCTGCAGTCATTTTTATGATAAGTTAATGAGCAAATCTGTTCACAGCATCCGGCCTGTCGGAAGGAATTAAACACAAATGGATTTATAACTCTGCTCTTTGCCTTCTGTCTATTTCCTGAGTCCTGTCTGCTTCTCTTTTCAGTTTCTAATCTTGAAATTGGAAAGGCCGGCAATTGTTCAGAGCATCACCTTTGGAAAGTATGAGAAGACTCACGTATGCAACCTCAAGAAGTTTAAAGTGTTTGGTGGGATGAGTGAAGAAAACATGACAGAGCTTTTGTCCAGGTGAGAGATTAAGCTAGTCCATGTGTTTTTGTTTGTGATTGTTTCAGTGTCACATTAGTATGCCATTTGTAGTCTTTTCTTCTCTTTTGAGAGAATCGTTTGAAGCTTGTGGGCAGTGTTAGACTGCTTTGCCATAAAATCACTGGTTAAAGTAGGCCAGTTTGGTTCAGCACGCTCTGTACCACTAACGGATTTAATTTCTCTACTAAACCGGTACTGGTTAGTCTAATTCATTTACCAATTTACACATTTACCAGCCATATTTGGACAACTATCCCAACTGTACCGGCATATGGATGCAGTCGGCATCTCAACTAATATGTAAGCAATAAGTTACGAGAGGCTTTATCGTCCAATAATGCAACAGTTACATTATTAAAGATAAAGTACTGCCTCAAGCACCTTTATTGCATTTATAATACCGCTACCAGCGACATTATAAATAGTAAGTAAATTGCTGCCTTTCAACACAAACTAGTATTTGCCTAAACGTTGTGTATCGCATTTGAGTAGCGTAGAAAAAAATAGTTCCCGTAAGCAGCATTGGGTCTCCTTACAAGATCTCGCACCATTTCATTCATTCACATCGCTCATGACATCCACTTTAATTGTCCGGTGGCGAATGCTCGCATTGCCCAGAACCGATCATTTGCACTGCTTCCGGTCTTAATTCGGCGATCAGCACTGAGCTAAAAACTGAAATGACAATGGTCGCTAGGCCTGTCGCAATATGCGATAAAAGGACATATCGCACACTCTCTGAAATCGCGTGCAATAATTTTTGCCGCTGCGATATCCATTTTACATCTAAATGAACGTCACCAACATTTAAGTTGATCGCGCTCCCTCTGTCCCTTTTCCTTGTGGGGGGCGGGGCTTAGCAGTGCACACAGACACAGAGCGGACACAGACAGGTGAAGAGAAGCAGTGAACCCAACGAAGCTAACTAAGCTAAAATCTCAACTAAAGCTGTTATTATCATTATGTTGTCAGTGGCATAAAATGGTGTGAAAATTGCAATAATATCGCATATCGCAATAAATGTTGGTGCAATAATCGCACAACAAAAATGTGATATCGTGACAGCCTTAACGGTCGCGCAAAATCAAACTTATTTTGAGTGTGCAGTGATATGGAATGCTCGGGTCAATGTGAACAGGTAATGTACATTTGCTGAATAATGCACACCCCGTGAGTCACTCACACACCAATCAGAACGCTGGATTTCATCTACCTGTACTGTAATGCAATTTGTTAAACAGCTGCTTCGTCTCCGCTTTTTTTTAACCTTTTTCTTTCTCTCTATTCCAGTGGCCTTAAGAATGACTACAACAAGGAAACGTTTACCTTAAAGCACAAGATTGATGAGCAGATGTTTCCCTGCAGATTTGTCAAAATAGGTGAGAGCTGTGTCGTTTGTCATGTGTCAGTGGTTTGTACATGAGACTCAATATTACTCTGCACGGGGGGCTCTGGACGTTTTGAAGGTAAATACGCCTTGCAGTGTTTCCCACACATAGGCTAATTTGTGGCGGTGCGCCAGATTCAATTATTTTTTTTCTTATATGTCACGGTGTTTGAATTGTCTTCCAGCTTCAGGTAGTCAAATCATAAAGCCATTTTGGCCCGCATGGGATTGTAGTTCCGAGAGCGCAGAATGAAATTGAGCTGCATGTTGCTGTTGTCCTAGTTTTTGGCTGTCAGGAGCAGAAGGAGCTGTCCATGGTGCTGATAATGCATCGGCTAACGTCTGAGTCATGTTGATCAATGTGTGGTGCTGTCCATGGTGCTGGTCATGCAACCATCATGGTTGTAGTGACTTCATTTTGCACTAATGTCTACTTGTCTCAAACTGACTCCTAAGCATTGTCATAGTCAGGTATAACAGTAGTGAGATTGAATCACTTTGCATTGGGGTCATAATTAAGTCATGTAGACACAAGTAGATTTTAAGTGTCGCGGTGGAACTATACGTTGTATACACAACTGTGGCCCCATATTGTTCATGGCGCTTGTGGTGCAAATATCTAATATAATTTCCAAAATATGAGCATAAAACTAAGGAAGGAAACTTGTGTTTGGTTAATAATTTCCTTGTAACAATACTTTGTGTCAATAAATCTTATACAATTGGAAAGCCAGTTTATTTCCCTTTTTAGATGGTGCCACATTTGTAAGGAACATGCATTTCTGGGATGAGCAGTGCTTAGTAAGTGGGTTGCAGCCATGACAAATGTGCCAAATTGTCTCTGCTATCAGGCTGCCATGATGCGGCCCTTCACTGTCAGGCCCGTTTGCTGTCGGCAACACGTGCCCCGGAACGTTGTGTTCAGCCACCGGTCCAGATTCTGCCTACAGCAGATGGGTCATAGGGTCAAAGTGTGGAGAAGATGGACTGTCAGCAATATAATCTCAATAAAGATATATCAAAATGAGATTATGCAACTACTGGCAATCCCAGAGTGACCACCACTACCACAAATGCTTTTTGCAGAATTGGATGCCATCCCTCTGCAGTGTGTGAGCAACATGAGGAGGAGTCGGGCTGTTATTAAATCAATATAGTGTTCAATTTATATATTGCCAATATGCTTTGTTCCATCAGTCTTCAATTATCCAATCCACCAAACAACACTAAACAAGAATCAATGGCAGAGAAGGTTTGGCAAATCTTTCATGGGTGCAAGCCACATACTCAGCTCTGCTGCTCATTCCAAAAATGTATGTTCCTTTCAAATGATCTGGAGTCGTTTTAAAAGGAAAATGCTATGAGAGGGCAATTAATAACATTTTAATCAATGTTGGCTGCCACAATTAAATGAGCATGATCGTCAGCAATATTGTCGTTTCAAATGCGCGCTCTGCTAAACATTAAAACGAGTGCTTTCATAACGTAACAGTCAGCCAACCACCAGTGGGAGAAAAAAAAAGTTGTAATAGATATAATCGATTTTGCTTCAGGTAAATAAGAACCGTAAAAAAAAATTGTTTTGATGCAAAGACGTGGACATTAGCTGGGATGTAGCACAACGTGGAAGTGAAAGCGGTGACATTTTGGGTAAAAAAGTACTATTTTACTTATATCTTCCTTCTACGAGATGCACTGTTATAAAACGATACGTAGCAAACGTGTCTGTCTCCTTATACTTTATTCATCTCTCTCCATCTTTTTCTCTGTGTTGCAGTGCCTCTGATGTCTTGGGGTCCTAGTTTTAATTTCAGCATCTGGTATATTGAGCTGCACGGTATCGAAGATCCCGATGTGGTGCAGCCCTGCCTCAACTGGTACAGCAAGGCAAGTGGCTGGAGTATAAGGACTACAACAGATCCAGCTGGCCTGATTCTGTAGCATGATGGATTAATCAGCTGGCAGGAAAACATGTAGTGTCCTTCTCTTTAACACAGATGTTCTTGTTTATTTCAACAAACCAGTAGGAAAACATTGAAATTGCTAACTTTTTAGCTTAGTTACGACCAAACTAGGGAATTTGATCAAAAGCCACAGACTCACTAACACATTAAGAGTTTACAACTTGTCGTCCTACAATCTAAATTTCATTCCCTTTTTATAGTCAGCCAATCTTATGTTTGTATGGCAGTTAAATGTCTTGCTTTTTCATGCATAACAGGGCCACACCTAATGAACAGCTTCATATCTCAGAACTTTAGTGGGGCTGGGTGTTGGTAACACTGTTATTTGTTCTTGTGCCTTCTAAGCCTGGGACACGATGTAGGGAATTGTGTGTAACTTTTTATGTGGTCGAGGGAGGGTCAAGGCGATTTAAGAGTTTCTCACTTTGTCTGAAGACGTTGGCACACCCCGAAATCGCCAAACGAGACATTTATTATTTAAGCAATAAAGTACGAGAGGCTGTACTTTAGGCTGTACTGAAATCAAACCAAATCAACTAAATAAGCTTTTAGAACCAGGCATTTTTGTGTTAATAAGTTTAAATGAACAGCTCCAGACACGTCGTGGCTAACATCTGTCGATAGTGCAGAGATTTCAGCCTCTCTGTGTAGCTGTTCCATTAATCTGCCTTCATCTTTTTCCTCCATTGTTCCCTCACAGTACAGAGAACAGGAAGCCATCCGCCTTTGCCTCAAGCACTTCCGACAACATAACTACACAGAGGCCTTTGAGTCGTTGCAAAAGAAGACCCGGATAGCGCTGGAGCACCCGATGCTCACCCACCTGCACGACCAGCTGGTGCTGCAAGGAGACTTCGACGTATGCGAGGAGCTCATAGACAAAGCTGTGAGAGGTATGGTGCTCGCCCCGCTAGAAAAATGACTTGATCTCTATTTGGAATTTGCAATGGTACCATTTTAATCCTTTTTTTATTTCTGCCTATGGGAATAATGATCTTTTGCCATGTTGGCTCTTCTCTCCTCACTAGACGGTTTATTTAACCAGTATATCAGCCAGCAGGAGTATAAGCCCCGGTGGAGTCAGATCATCCCTAAATGCAACAAAGGCACAAGCGCCCAAGAAGTCAACCGAGACGACATAAACAGTGAGAAGTGGGAAATATTACCCATTTGTCGATGAAACATTCAATGGACTGTAAAAGCTTTGTTGCCATGATGCTAAAGCCATGCTTCCCTCTGCTCCTCCCATCGCCCCATTCCCCACAAACCTCCTCTCTCACTTTCCACCACGTCACTGTTACGTCTTCCACACTCACCCACCACTCTTTGTCTCCTCCCCCCCTTTCTGCTTCTCAGGTGACGGGGACGACAACAGGCCTGGAATGAGGGGAGGTCATCAAATGGTGATTGACGTCCAGACCGGTGAGACCCACGGAGCCAGTGTTTAGCCGAGGCTATGACTCATATCCTTCTACTCAGACTCCATAGAAGCCTAATGAAATTATCCCACCCTCCCTCCCTCCCTCCCTCCCTGCCCCATCCACCTTGAGATCTGTCTCCTCCAAAAACAACGGGCCTGAGGGCATTTCTCTTCAAAGAGAATATAAATCACAACTTGTTTTGGCAGGCACACACACAGCCACATTGTTCTTTTTCTTTCTGTATTGACGTTTTCAGTGGCAAACTTCCCCGCAGGCCATCTGAAAAACAAAAGCCTGCTTTGTGTGTGTGTGTGTGTGTGTGTGTGCGTGTGCGTCTGCACACACTGGTCTCTGTGCTTTGGGAGCATTAGTTGATAGTAGAAGTTGATGCAGAGGATCCTAAATGGTTTTCTTTGTCACCACATTTTTTTCCCCTCATCCCTTTTTTCTCAACAGGCAGGAATCCTTTTCTTGTACATTTTGATGGATATCTCTATCACCAGTCTCGTCCCAATCCTTTCACATCTGCTCTGGACCTCATATGGATCCTGATCAATCTCAAAGATTTCAATCACAGAGGGAATCCAGAGTGCTTCCAATAACAAAATATTATTACATCCAGAGCTTTAACTCGGAGTAAATGTCTTCCATTTGACTCGTTGAGCTAGTTAGATGTGGCTGTAAGACAGAACATAACTTTTATGGTCCCGTCACTTTTAGTCCTGATCCTGATCTCAAGCGTTATAATCCCCTTGTATTGCGTTAATAATGATAGATTATGATCTAATGTAGAATGCTGTCTCAATTCGCTCTATTATTGACAGTCAGTGACTTATTTTCTGGCCCATGTTCATTTCCTCCTAAACAATCAACATAGTCTGTGCGTGAAGTTTGTGATCGTATCACAAACTTCACGCACAGACTCCCGAGAGCCTGAGCACCAGCGTCCTTTGTTTGACCCAAACACTGGTTTCACTGCACAGACCTGCTCGCTTATTAAAGCAGCAGACATGAGTTGCTTCTACATTACATCCTCTGAGTGGTACCCAAATACAGAAATTTAATAAAAGTAGAACATTTAACAATGTTAATATGTGGGGAAGTTACATTTGGAACCAGAGGTCACCAACAAAAAAAAAAGAATGACCCGAGCCGATTGACTGGATTGTGATTGATATTTGTGTCATATTGGTCATAAAATGAACATTGTGATGCGTTCCGGGTTTACAATGATGCTCTTGGTTTGTGTTTAGTTATAAATCTAGTTCACCCCTTCCCTTTTCAGCAATGAACGTTTGCACCTCTGTTTGAATTCATTTAAGCATCAAAGCAAACATAAGATACTTCTAAAATACACTGCTAATGTACTAATAAACGACTAAAAGTGTTAAATAAGAAAGATTTTTAAAGTTGAATCAAAGAGTCAGGATTATGATTCTCTGAATTCTGTATGTAAGAATAATTTAACAAATCTTTTCTCAACCAAACCAAAAGTCTGCTGGAGTTCAGCTGGCTGCAGGCGCAGCTTTCCAAAGCAAATCCAGAAGAGGAGTTCTAATGTCTGTTCGCTCACTTTATTCCCACAGAAACCGTTTACCTGTTTGGGGGCTGGGACGGCACGCAGGACCTGGCTGACTTCTGGGCTTACAGTGTTCAGGAGAACCAGTGGTCCTGCATCTCCAGAGACACAGAGAAAGAGGTGAGTGGGTTCAGTGTTTCCCACAGATCCAATGTCAAATTGTGGGGTAGGGGTGGAGTGCGACAGACGTCGCACTAAAACACACATCGCTAGATAGAACTATACACAATTCGCAGTATGCACAATACACATTTCACACCCTATACTACTTGTTGTTACAGCCTACATGCGCAAAGTCTGCAACTTCTGTCAGAGCAACGGATTTTGCGGGGCGTGTGTGTGTGTTTGTGGATGTGAGACGCGTGAGTGAAAAGGACGCAAGGGAGAGCAGGAAAAGGAAATGCAGCTGAACGAATAGGCTGCATGATTTAAATAATGTTAAACAAATACACCAAACGCAATGTGTGGTGGCCGGTGTTGAATAGGGCTGAAAAACTGCTCAAAAATGGCGTTCGAATATTCGCTTTAAAAAAACACATATTTGAATATCTGGTTGCGCATTAGGCACGCCAATAACTGGACAAATTAATACAACGGGACATAACTAATTGTATAGGTAATTTATTTAAGTTTAAACATATTTAACAACATATTACCTGCACAAAAATAAGTAAATTAACTAATGGCCAAGTCCGCAGATCTCTCGCTCTCTTGCACCCACCGCCACGCTCTCTGCAACAATAAACAAATGCTGAGTGCTGATCAAGAGTTTTGTCCAAGCAATGTAAGGTCTCTTAATTTAGTGATTGAAACTGAAAGTTTTAAAGTACCGACATTGAAGGCTCCGAGCGAGCTGCGCTGTAAACAGGGAACTGATCCTTGGCATGAAACGGCAAATAATCAAACCAGTGCATGAAGCTGTTGTAGCCTATGTGGTCTATTTTATTCATGCAATATAGTCAGTAGTCAGGCGCCCCCGCGCAAAGCAGTCGCACCGCAGTTTCATTCGAATATTAATTTTCACATTCGAATAGTTGTTTTTAACAACTACTACCAAATATATATTCGAATATAGAATATTCGTTGACAACCCTAGTGTTGAATCTGTGGCGCAACGCCACAAATTAATCTATATCTGTGGGAAACACTGTGGTTATTGAGCTTTGTTTGTGCCCAATCAGAGCGGTCCCAGTGCCCGCTCCTGCCACAAGATGTGCATTGACTCTCAGCGGCGTCAGATCTACACTCTGGGCCGGTACCTGGACTCCAGCGTCAGGAACAGCAAGTCCCTGAAGAGCGACTTCTACCGCTACGACATCGACGCCAACACCTGGACGCTACTCAGCGAGGACACATCCGCTGACGGGGGACCAAAGCTGGTGTTTGACCACCAGGTAGCTGCTTGTACCTGCCCAGCCTCTTATATTTAATGTACTTATCCAATCCAATGGTTGTTCAGTGGTTTATCAGGGTTGACGTGGCGCAGGGATAGAGAGGGTGTGCTGGGAACTGCAAGGTTGGCGGTTCGAGCCCCGGCTGCTCCATGTCCCATGTCGAAGTGTCCCTGAGCAAGACACCTAACTCCTAATTGCTCCCCGCGCAAAAATGTAAAAAGCCATGGGTTAAAAATGCAATGTAAGTCGCTTTGGATAAAAGTGTCAAGTAAATGACCTGTAATGTAGAGCAGCAAGACGCACTCATTGGACGCTCTGTGTTGAATGCAGGTCACTTCCGTATTAAACAGAGTAAAATAGACTTTGAACTTGACTACGCTAAGATCTCATTGTCTCAACAAAGTCTGGAAAGAACATGTCTGAAAGGAACTCAACTCAGTGATATCAAATGTTTTTCTTCAAGACAGACTTTGTAAAATGTATTCCGTGATGAGCTTGTAAGTCGATTGCTTAACTCTCACACATCCTGTGCCCTCCGGCTCCTGTCCCCCACAGATGTGCATGGACTCGGAGAAGCACATGATCTACACGTTTGGGGGTCGCATCCTGACGTGTAACGGCAGCGTGGAGGACAGTCGGACATCAGAGCCTCAGTTCAGCGGCCTGTACGCCTACCACTGTCACGCTGGAACGTGGAGCCTCCTACGGGAAGACTCGTGCAATGCCGGGCCAGAGGACGTCCAGTCCCGGATTGGCCACTGCATGCTCTTCCACACCGTGAGGCTCATTTCCATTACTGCTCAACTAAACTAAGACACAGTTAGCATGCATGGTAATTCTCTGTTGTGTCTCTTCTGCTTCCCACAGAGAAACCGCTGCTTGTATGTGTTTGGAGGTCAGAGGTCAAAGACATACCTCAATGATTTTTTCAGCTACGATGTGGACGGAGACCACGTAGAGATCATATCTGATGGCACCAAAAAGGACTCGGGCATGGGTAACACACTGTTTGTATTTAGTGAGACTTTATAAATACAATCTTATGTAAAAGATCCGCAGACCGATATTGGTGAAATGAAGTCTGAATCTGTGAATATCTTTTGGGCAAAAAACTACAAACTTGGGTTTGGCGTAGAAAGAAAGATAGTCATACAGAGAAGCACCTGATACCCACTGTGAAGTATGGTGGTGGATCTTTGATGTTGTCGGGCTGTTTTTCTTCCAAAGGCCCTGGACATCTTGTTAATAATCAAATATCAGCCGATAATTAATGAAAACCTTAAAGCCCCTCCAGGAGGCTTAAAATGGGCCGTTGTTGGACGAGGAGGATAACGCTCCATAGCACACCTTGAAATCCACACAATCTGTGGTTCACGGACCACAAAACAAAGCTTCTGACATGGCCGTCACAGTCCCCTGACCCAAACCCTACAAAACATCTGAAGAGGAGAGTCCACAAGCGTTATGAATTCATAATGAATGAATTTAACATTTATTTAAATTATGTTACTGCAGTTCTGATTTTTGTGAATATTTTGAATTGCAAATAATTCTGGAGGGCACTGTCTGTATGTACATGTATGTATATACTACAGCTGGGCACGTTAACGCAGTGCTGAAGTGCTGCAGAAACACCAAATCCGAAACTTCTCAGAGGTGCAGAACTTTGGTATCGACAGTCCTGCATGTTTGGTCCCGTCCAAATCGATTCTCAGGAACTCCCGACATGCTCATTGTTGCTCAAGTATTATTCGGTCCTATTCAAGGTTTTATAAATACCATCTTGCGTTTACATTCCTGTGTGTGTGTGTGTGTGTGTGTGTGTCAGACACTTCCCCCGACAGAACAACGGACTGAGATGTGGGCGCCACCTCAGATCCTCTGTTTGCCGACGCTCACCTCCTTGTCCTGGAGCAGCCAGAAGGGGAGGGGGGGGGGAAGAGATATTGACCAATTCCAATGTGTACAAGGGTGAAACGGAGCAAGAAAGAACAGAATGTGTCTTGGCAGGAAGGAAGCACAAACTGTTCTCGCTTCCCCTTTCGGGGTCATAATGATTCTCTGATCTTGACGTGTGCAGTGGCTTGGCGACAGCAGCTTGCCACGTCTCTCTGGACATGCCGACCCGCAGCCTGAGCTGGGAGCTGTGCTCAGATTAAGCTCATTTAGATCATCTCCCCTTCTTGAGTTCAATTTGTGTCGTGTTTTCCCGCAATGACATTTGAACTCTATTCTGTTGCCTGTACGGAAACAACAGGCCCGACTTGGCTCAGTTCTGTGTAGTCTTCTTCTCCTGCTCTACAAAGAGTATAAAACTGGTTGGAGATCTGCCACCAAACCGCTTGGTCTCTGTTTGGACACAGCCTTTAAATTTGAATGTGTTGAACCCAGCTTTGTGACATATTTAAGGGACATAAGATGAGACTGGACTAGCTCCAGTGTTTGGTTTGTACAGATGTAGATTGTTGACTGACTCCGGTTAGATTATGTGTGGTTTATAAACACACCAATTCACATATATTGGAGAAATTAATTGGTGTGTGTGTGTGTCTATAATATATATTTATACATGCGTGTGTATACATGTGTATACGTGCGCCCCCCCCATATAATGGGCGGGGAAACACTGACTACATATGAATCATCGCAATAAGATGACGGACAATAACGGAACAAATTAAATTTTCGCCTAACACATAGATTTCGGCTCTCAGTTCCTAGAATGCTCTCAGGCGTTGACCCGCACAGGAAATGAATCCCTGCACCCATTGGGTTGAATTTGCATGCCGATCAGCCTCTCTGCCGCAGCCCGTTGCCATGGCATCGTGTTGCTGTGTTACAGAGTAGCCTTCTTTCCTTCCTTGAGCTTGACTTGTTAAGGGGAGAACAAAGTTGTATTATTAATGGTGCTCATCAAACTCGTCTCATTACTATAACCCCCGATAAGTACGTTTCTTTGGTCCTCCGAGCTGAACTCCGTGTCCATTCATGGTTGCCGTTGTCGCCACAGTGCCGATGACGGGCTTCACTCAGAGAGCCACCATCGACCCTGAGCTCAACGAGATCCACGTGCTGTCGGGCCTCAGCAAAGACAAGGACAAGCGCGAGGAGAACGTCCGAAACTCCTTCTGGATCTACGACATCGCCCGCAACAACTGGTAGGAGAGTCAATGAAAGACACACACACTTACTCACACGCATCTCTTTGTAGCTGAGATCTTCAGCGTGCGTGTGCACGAAAAGAACAGGTTGTTACATTACATTGATTTAAGTAGCTGTTCTTGTGCTCAATGTCTGGTGAAAAAAGTAAATGAGTCGGCTGTGTGCGTGCGTAACAATCTATTTGTTGAGCAGCTTTTACTCAAAGGCTTCAGGAAGTGTTCAGTCTTTACGTCACTATGTAAACTTGCTTTATTTGTGTATGTGCGCACGTGTTTGTGTCTGCTCAGGTCGTGCGTGTACAAGAACGACCAAACAGTGAAAGAAAACCCAGGCAAGGCTCTGCAGGAGGAGGAGCCGTGTCCTCGCTTTGCACACCAGCTGGTTTACGATGAGATGCACAAGGTAGCAAACGCACACAGCGCTCTCATTGGGGACGCTGTCACACTCAATCTCAGGAGTCAGTCTCAAAGCTTTTGGATCACAAAGCATCAGATTAAGACGTATCATCGCGAGCTGCTGGAGAGACAAATGTTACAGGAGCTAAAAAATACCCCCCCGAACCGGTCAGAGGGTGAAAAGGACCCTTTTGTTGCACTGACAGAACAATGCGAGGAGGTGGAGTCACGTTTAATCTTCTCACACAACAAGGCTTGTTTTCACATTGGGAATCATAAAGGGACAGTTCACCCCAAAAATAAATTTGTGAATTTGAACTTGTTTACTGCAAGCTGGCAGCTATATCCAGATGTGTGGATTATTATAATAATAATATATATATATATATATATATATTTTTTTTTTTTCTTTCGAAAAATAATTTTAACTTTAAAAACTAAAACAATAAAACTAGACTTTCAAATATGACCCATCACTGCCTTTAAATTCAGAACCACTGCACATAAAATATGCTTTTGAGTAAGTTCTTCAAACATCCAAACTGCTTAAAAATTGTTTGACACAACCACATTTTAGCAACAAAACAGACTTTGTAATAGTTTCAACAGTGAAAAACATAGCGTAACGTGTGATTAGTCTAAAGCCTGATTGGTAGCATCATACACATCGCGTAGCACCCGTTGTGCTTTATAACTGGTGTGTATTTCCTGTGTGTGTTCAGGTGCATTACTTGTTTGGGGGAAACCCGGGGAAGTCATGTTCTCCCAAGATGCGCCTGGACGACTTCTGGTCCCTTAAACTGTGTCGGCCCTCCAAGGAGTACCTGCTGCGCCACTGCAAATACCTCATCAGGAAATACAGGTCAGGTCCAGCCCTTCTTTGTATTTTAGCAGCCACAACTACCTCATCACATGGGCTGTCTTTGATGGTTTGATATTCGGTTTCACGAGAGTCAATACTGATGTTATGAAACACATGGGGCGTTTCCAGCTCTGGCCAGTTGCCATCAAATGATGAGTCACCATCCCTCTGTCATTGAAGCCTTTCTATGGAGACCTCCCGTTGGCTGTAAAACCTGTGTGTGTGTGTGTGTGTGTGTGTGTTGGTACATGTACAGTACCAGTCAAATGTTTCATACGCATTGTTTTTCTTTATTTGTATTTTTTCTACATTGTAGATTGATATTGAAGTAATCAAAACTATGAAGGAAGACATATGGAACTATGTTGTTAACAAAAAATGCTAATCTCAGCTTTCTGAAGCTGGAATTTGTTCTTGGCAGCAGAGGTAACTCGTGGTCTTCCTGTCCTGGGGGGTCCTCACGAGAGCCAGTTTATCAGCGTTTGATGGTTTTAAAAACTGCACGAGGATCGATTCAAAGTTCTTGAAATTTATTATTATTTTCTGGATGACTGACCTTCTTAAACTAATGATGGACTGTTTTGTAGTAGAGTTGTTTGACGTAATATGAATCAGAACTGTAATGGCCTAAAATAGGCCTATTCACTGTGCGCTAGTCCTCTACTTTTATGAACCTTTGTCCTATTAGTTAATGCTCTGCAGAGTGGAGAGAAATAACATTTTTGAAGATGCTAAATGCTTCACAATAAGCCAGAATAACCAGTGGAAAATATACATTTCAAAGAGTTCAAATGACTTTTAGTTCCAGCATCATCTGCCTGTTTTCAGTGAAGACTATTAGAGAGTAGTGAATGTTATGTGATATTAAAGACACCATTAGGATAATCCCAGTAGAAGCATCACACCTTTCACATGCTCCTTTAATACAGATCTCTGCTCTCCTGCCATCTAGTGTTTCCTGGTGGTAGCTGCAGCCCTACTGAGGTCATGTGGTGTTCACTGTCTGTGTTTTCATTGGCCAGGTTCGAAGAGAAGGCCCAGTCAGAGCCACTGAGCGCACTCAAATACCTGCAGAACGACCTGTCACTGACGGTGGACCACGCTGACCCCGAAGAGACCAAAGAGGTACTGGGTTAGGGTTAGTGGTCTTTAGCGTAGGGTTTGTTTTGTTCATGGAGTGGGGGCCAGAAGCTCAAATGTGAGAGAAAATGAACCTGAAGGAAACGTAAATGTAGAGCTCTCATCCGTGTGCTCAGTGTGCTTAGAGACCTGCTGAAGAAGCAGCAGTGCCATCTGATGGGGGCGGGGGGGTTATTTTTCCACTACACCGCCTCATGTTTACTGTCCTGCTTCAGTTCCAGCTGCTGCCCTCTGCTCTCTTCAAGTCCAGCTCTGACTTCATCCCTCTGGGTAAGGAGGGCGGGTTGCACACTACAGCTTCACTGCATTTATTCACTATATTCGTTGTATTAGTCCACACTGTTTAATCAGAAACACATGGGTCGTATAAACAGAGTGAAATAAAAACATGAACGAAAAGAACAAACTAAATGCCTTGATTCACATTCAAACTATAAACTGCAACAAAAAAGCAGAGCCGTGCATTTAGCCATCCAGCCGTGTTCTTGTTGTGCCTGTTAAAAGCTAAAGGTCGGCCCTGCTAATGCATCGGTGAGTCCATTTACTGTTTACTGCATTGTGTTTAAATCGGTGGGGAAGATGCGATTGGTGTATGCATGAACACAGCGTGACCCTAGCCCCCCCGCCACGAACCCGATGAAAGCCCTCCATCTGTTCCGTGGCCTCCTGCAGCATCCTGCTCCCTCTGAAACCAGATGTTTTTTCTTCAGGGTTCTCCGACGTGGACCAGACGTACGCTCAGCGGACGCAGCTCTTTGACACACTTGTCAACTTCTTCCCAGACAGCATGACTCCACCCAAAGGAAACCTGGTTGACCTCATCACGCTTTAGCCCCTCACCTTTGTCTGACCCCCCCACCCATCCATTGGCGCCCGGTAGGGATGGAGCAGACAGTTAGAGAGTTATTTTTCTACTCCTCAACTCATCTGATTACGCTGACATCTGGAACTCCATCAACAGACTTTCTGCTGCTGCGTCGGACACAACTAATCACACACACACAGACGCGTTCACAGCATGGTGGTATTGGGATGTGAGGGGGAACTCTTTTCCCTTTTCCCAAGGAATCTATTTGTTTTCTTGCTGATGATGGAAGTTTCTGCAAACCTCTTTAAACATGACTTGTGTTTTTTTTCATCTTCACTTGGATTTATTTTTCTGTGGAAAAATGACATGCACACATTTGTTTCCGACCTCCTTTTTTTCGGCTTTAGATTTGTGTTTGTATCCATGCAATGCCCCCCCACACCCCCCCACAGGCCTCCCTCCCTCCACGTGTAAAACATGTGACATTGTTCTGGCAAATTGTTGCGAAAGTTCAGTTTAAAAATGGTGCTGTTCTTTTGTTAATATTTAATTATCGCCTGCTAAATCCTAATGTACACTTTCATTTTGGTTGGATTGCTTCTTTGCAACTTGTTCAGCTGTATTCATGATGGTGGAGGCCAAAACAATTGAATAGTGTTGTAGTAACAATAGAGGAACTATTCTATGAGATGAAGCTTAATATATATCTAAATATACCTTTATATATTGGTTTGGGTTGTAAAAGTGGCTTTTTCCCCCCAATAGTTAATCAACTTAATTCTAAATGGTGTACAGAATATGTAAATATACATACAGGGATTGTTTTTGTTATTGAAGTTTTTGTTTTCGCGGGGGGGTTGAACCAATTCCGTGGTGGGTCATGTTCTTCCTTTTTTGCTCTTAATTTAAGAGTCCAACCTTCTGGCTTTAATTGCTCATTATATTTATAAGAGAGAGTGAATGGAGTGCTGGTACCAGTATTCCACATGACGGTTAGAGAGGCGGCTGCTTGTGTGTTAGTGTCTTGACACAATGTTCCTTCAGTGTGATGAAATAATGATGATTAGTGAGGTTTTCCTTCTTCAAGGGGTGAGTGGGCCTCAGATCTTCCAGCCGCGTTACAAGGATAGTTTTGATGTTTTGAAGTGTGCTTATAGTACGATTCCTACAGTAGATTGATTTGGCGAAACAAACATCCGTTATATCAATACTCTTTTCAAGCCATTGACAGACACGTTTTCATTATCGTCAAAGGAGTCTTCAGTAATCCAACCGCTTCAGTAATCCACTATGGAGAAGCACCTTATACAAACCCCCTTTTAAACACCCGCACTGTCCCTTTAAGCAGAGACATTCCAACGCGATCATTGTTCACACATTGTGTCAGATGTCGGTTGTAGCATCACTGACAAAGAAAAAGTCCAAACGAAAAAGAAAAAAGGTGTGCTTTCCCGTTTGTAACAGCTTTTATTATTTATGGAAGAGCGGGTGGAAAGAGGGGGGATGTTTTGAGTTTCCAAGCTGAAGTCTGTTACTGCTGGAGGTGGGGTGTGTTTTGTTAAAAGAAAATTTACAAATCCATTGAGCACTACAGGTAAGATAAAATATTTAGATTTTGGGCTCAACTGTCTCTTTAACTGTGGTTCTTTGCTGTTCGCTGCTTTTGCTTTCAGTTTATTTTGGTGCTGCCAGCCTCTAATTAGCCAATCCCAAGTCTTTTTTTTTATTTTTATAAATGACTTAAAAGTAGAAAAGTGGACTAAAACCATGGAAGGCAGAGGAAGCTGTCGAGGCTTTAGCGCCAAAATGACTGCTGACCATTTTCCAAAGATAGCTGGGATTGACACCACTCAGGTCTGCACACTGAATGTGAGGCCACCGCTAGCTGTGCTACACCAACGTGTTCATGATGTGGATATTGTTACATCTGGACCAACCCAGGCTAGCTATTTCCGCTCTCGATGCTAAGCTAAGCTAGCTCTGTTTGGTGTTGATCTTCCAGCCTGGTCCTCAGCAAGAACGCACATTTTTCAACACTACCCGAACTACTACTTTATAATTACTGTTAGCAAAAAGAGAACCTGTGTGTGTTCCACGAGCTTGGAATGGAATGTGTTGATGATCTTGTGTTGGATGCACTTCATGAGTGAATCCAAGAGGCCTCATCTGCACGCTTGATGTGTCCTGCTTTTGAATACAGGAGGCGTTTATTTACACCGTGCGTCGGTTTCCTGTGGTTTTTGGTTGCTCTGCAGATGCACTCTCGGCATTTCTCGATCCCGCCGGAGTGTTTTCCCACCGGACTTGAGAAGTTATTTTCTGACATTAAAGTCATCAGTGGAGGAAAGTAGAACCGAGGTAGAGGAGCTGCTTGAGTATCACTTTACGTCACGGAAGAGAAGGAAAGTCTAAACAACAATCCCTGTTTTTGATGAAATATTATTTGATTTTTTTTTTTCGAAAAATCACCATGCTTGCCGAAGTCTTTGTTTCTCATTTTGTGCCAGAAGGAAACAGTGTTTAAAAAGACTAATTGAAAGCACCTTTTGTTAAAAAAAAAAAGTAAAAACACAATGCCAAATACTACTTTTGTTTTTTGCTATTTTACTGATGTGTGATCGATGGATTGTTATTTTGATTATTTCTTTTCTTGTTTTGTTTCCATCTTGCCCTTCTGTTGACTCGTGCGTGGGAAGTTTTAAGGCCGGTACTCTCAGATCAGTGAGCGGTATTGTGGATGCAGAGAATGTGTAGAAAGGCCTGTAGTATTGTATGTAATGTATATAAGGAATAAAGATTGTATTTTGTTCAGGTTTTCCTAATTCCCGTGTCCGTGCTGTTTCTGCCCCCTAGTGGACACGAGTATTGGATCAGTACAGAAAACACAACTGAGGGACCAAAGTGGAAAAAAACATTTTATTTTCAAATGTGAGCAGGTAGAAGAACATGAACGCAGCTTCCAGTGTGTCAGACCCCTGTTGTTTGCCTTCTGCAGCAAACAGTACATAAATACATAACAAATACTAGTAACATACTTTGGTGACATCACAGCTATAATAAAAGTGAAACTAGACGAAAACAAAAAAATCAATCAGATGATTGGAGTGCCCACGGTGATGATTCACTTGTATATAGGTACACAAATATATTAACCTTTTTAAAGTAAGGCAGTTATTCAAACTGAGCCAAATCTCAGCGATGTGCCCTGGTTTAATAACAAAATAAACTTGTCAGTTTCCGTGGAAGCCCCTTAAAAACAAGATGAATAATAATTCAATTTTATTTTGAATGTGTTTGAAGTATAACTAGGCGTGATGTGTATTTTTAAGATAACTTGTCATGGTTACATCAGATGAGCGCACAAGTCCTATTTTTAGAAAGAAAGCTGGACGCCTTTTCCATCGTTTGTATTCTGTGACAAACTGTTGCATCGAGACGAAGCACAAAAGCAAACCTACTTCTGATTTGTCCACTCGGGCATTCCGTACACCTCCATACATTGTGATTTAAAAAGCTTTCACTTCGTTTCTATCAACCTAAAGATGCGTCTTTGTGGACATTGTCTTTGTTACTGAACAGTCCACAACGTCAACTGGCTCTTCCTCGCTTGCAGAAAACAACTTACTTATACTTATTTACAGGTGCTAGTGTACAAATCAACTCCTTGTCACCTCCTCTCCTTCCCCGACTCGTCTCTACAGGTGTGTGTCCTCCTCGCCCGCCACGTCCTCCTTCAGCAGGTTGTCTATGGGGACGATCCAGCTGTCGTTGAACTCTCCATTCAGCGTCATCTTCTTCTCCTGCATCTCTGGCTGAACCTCCATCACCTCCAGCGTGGGGTTGTCGTGGTAACCATTCTCTACTGTGTGCAGCTCCTCCGTCAGGTGCTGCTGCAGGGGTTAAAGGGACAACGTTTCTAAGAGCTGTGTGTTTGATACTGCTTACTTTATGTTGAGGGTAACTCATTTCCTATTTTCACTACTTTCACATGTCCTTCGTGTCTGACAAATGACAACAAATGAGGGTCACCACTTTTTTGATTGGTCCAGGATTTAGTAAAAATGCTCCAGTACAAGAAAGGCAGTGCTTGTTTTTCCCCACTGACAGGCTGAGATTGTTACAACAGTCTGATGGCATCATGAATGTTGTTGCAGGAAGATGCCGATGGAAATGGGTGTGTGACTTTGAGAACCAGAGTGCTGGTTCCTAGAGTTTGTTTTCTCAACCTCATGGCAGAGTATTTTTATTTGGTTTCTACCGTGTGGATGCGCTGTAACGTTTCAGAGCGAGACCTCTCCTTGAGAGAAAGGTTTACTGTCACTGCAAGGTCCTTTTTGTAAAGTTGCCCGGACACTTTACAGACGTACATTGACCTTTAGGAATAACATTGCAGCTTTTATAGTGGACTCCATAAGGAAGACACAAACGCATTGAAAAAAGGGTCCAAGTTAGAAAATAAGTTTAATAAATCCCTTTAAATCCAAGTCCACACATACACATGGTACAGATTAACAGGAACATATTTTTATTTATAAATCTGCTAAATCAAGGGGGAAGTTTGTCCAGGCATGTGTGTACTTTTGAGTACTGCTATTGTCTCTACTCATGAAGTTACACTAGCATAGAGAAAAAAGCCTTCATGTGGACGGCTGGTGCAGAGGGAACACCACCCGTCCACACCAACGTGTGCCCTTGCAGGATGCTTTGTATGAATAGAGGCGCTGCACCTACCTGGTTCTCATTGTACGGCCTGCGGTGGTGGGAGGCACAAACGGCGAGGATGACGATCATGATCAGCAGAGCTCCGCTGGAGGCCAGGATGGCGATCAGGGTTTTGCTATCTGTTGGTTTCTTTAAGCAGAGAACTCAATGAGAGGACGGCCTCTGTGGTTGTGTAAGTCGTGGCGTATGATGATATGCCGTCTTCATGGGAGCTCTTACCTTGGTGATTTCTTCATAGTACTGGGATGCGAGGCTGGTTTTTACTGTGAGTTGCATTCAGGTGTTTTGTTAGCAATTGGAACATTTACCTGCAACTTAACCTGATAAATGTGACTTTTCCAAAAGGGGGGGGGGGGTTGGAGCTTCACCTTTGCCGTTGATCTCCACACCGTCAAACTGTATTTTGCCGTTGTGGTTCAGCCCTGTCAGGGTGCAGTTGCCATCTTGTAGATTGACCATCAGCTGCCTGCACACCTCCGCCAGATGTTTCTCTACCTCTTTCTCCTCCTCTTTCTGAAGGTAAAAAAACACATTTCTGTTAGCATCTTCTCGCAAGCGAAATCCATCCCATGGCTTTATTTTCCCATGGATGAGTGAGCAGAGCCGACATCGAGCTCTAACGTGCAGTCAGTTTGCAGTGGAAGGTCAAAGGTTACAGCTGATGTCATATCTTCCCATGCTGTGATGTGAGGGGTATTTCTGGTGTGATGTGGAACGGCCAAGCTGCTTAGGCCGTCGCATAGCGAGGGTGAGCCTGGGTAAGAGGTGTGGGAACAAAGGAAACTAGTGAAAGGCAGGAAGGGTTCCTACTGAAGACACTTTTTCCACCCAGTGATTGGAATCCTTTTTTTTATAGTGAGCTTCACTGTTTCCTGTTGATGGATCCACCCATAGCCGCGCCCTCAAGGGTTTCTATTACCATCTGCAATGTTTAAAGACGCTGCTCTTCCACCTCATAATGCTTAATGCGGTTATAGTGGGACCGAGACACTGAGTGGACTGGTTATAGTGGGACAGAGACACTGAGTGGACTGGTTATAGTGGGACAGAGACACTGAGTGGACTGGTTATAGTGGGTTAAAGCGCTAACAGACCCAGTGTAGAGTGTAAATAAACATGGTTTGTGTTCTTGTTCTTCCTGCAGGATGTTGCATGACGGAGAAAGGGCTGCTGAGGGTGGTGCCGTGCTTCCCATGGACAGTCCCATAGCAGGGACCCGAGGTTTGTTCTCACATGCATTGTTTGAGTCAATGGATTTAAAATAAAGCCTATCTTACCTCGTGCCCGTTGTTTAGAGAATACTGCAAAAGAGAAGAATAAGAACACAGTGCATGAGGAGAAAGCTTTCTGAAATATGTTGATACAGCGTCCGTAATGTGTGTCTTACCGTAAACGTCATTGCCCCTGCGGAGTGGCTGCTGGTTATTTTGGTTACAGCGGTGGGGGGTTGTGGGGAGGTGGTTCCAGCTTTGGCAACAGAAGGCTCTGGGGTATGAGACACCACCTTGGTCAGGGTGGAGGGGTTGCGGGTGGTCACTGTGTTGTCAGCTGTTGTCCCTGAGGTCCCTGTCTCCCCTGTGGCCCTCGTCCCAGTGGCCTCTGTGGCCCCTGTCTCCCCTGTGGCCCTCGTCCCAGTGGCCCCTGTCTCCCCTGTAGCCCTCGTCCCAGTGGCCTCTGTGGCCCCTGTCTCCCCTGTGGCCCTAGTCCCAGTGGCCCCTGTGGCCCTTGCCACAGTTGTTTTCACGGCACCTTCAACCACACAATGAGACACTATAAAAACACTGTTCCCTGATGGCGAGGCCCTGAGGTGGGATCAAATGATTGTTATTTATCTGGCACAAGGAAGGACCAACAACTTTCAAGTTTTCCATTCACATCTCATCCATCATACGTCATCGATGAGAGTTTTAGTGAATGGAGTTATATTTTAAAGAAGCCTAATAACAAAGTGGACAAATATAGACAAAGTGCACAAAGGAAACTAAGTGTGGACTTGCTGGAGGAATAGCACTAACCTTACTTGATTCAGGAGAATAATTGATTCAAATCAATTAAATATGTGGGTTACAAACTTTCAAGCATTTTCAAGTCAACAGACTCATTGGCGTAACGGTCCTGGTTTTATTTTTATTTTGTTAAGTTTATAGTTATCAAAGGAATGATTCACTTTTCAGCAGCTTAATGGCTTTTTTTCACCTTAGTGTCATCTCGAGAAAGAACTGAAAAAATAATCTCAAATGATCTTTTGTCTCGACCACGAGATCAAATAAATTGATGGATTGATGGAAGTCAATATGTCTATTTCATTTTTTCATTTATTTACAAGATTAGACTTAAGTCAAGAGCTTCGGCTGAGGAGGTGGGCCGTTTTCTGGTGGGCATCAGAGGCACTAACCTGCGTTGCCCTCCTGGCTCGTCTGGGTGGGGATGGTGGTGTGGGTCACTGATTGTTGCACCGCCATAGGGGCCTCCGTCGAGGACCTGTTCTCGGTTGTCCCCACGTGGGAGCTGTTCGCTTGTGTCCCGGATGTTGTTACGGGTACGGAGGTTGCCAGTGTTTCGACGACGTTGGGGCTTCCAGTTGACACAGCGCTGTTGGCAGCTGGTGTGGCTGTTGTAGCTGTTGTGGTTGTGTCTGTTGTAGCTGTTGTGGTTGTGTCTGTTGTAGCTGTTGTGGTTGTGTCTGTTGTAGCTGTTGTGGTTGTGTCTGTTGTAGCTGTTGTGGTTGTGTCTGTTGTAGCTGTTGTGGTTGTGTCTGTTGTAGCTGTTGTGGTTGTGTCTGTTGTAGCTGTTGTGGTTGTGTCTGTTGTAGCTGTTGTGGTTGTGTCTGTTTTAGCTGTTGCGGTTGTTGGTGCTGTTTTGGTTGTTGGTGCTGATATGGTTGTTGTAGCTGTTGTAGCTGGGTTGGTGGTCGATGGGGCAGTCGATGTGATATTTTCCCTCGCAGTAAGAGAGGAGGTCGTGTGGTTTATTAGATTGGCCGTTTTATGTCCAGTGGAGGCGTTACTTGGCTTTGTAGATGCCGTCTCAGTCGTCTGTTTGTCCACATTGGAAAGGCTGACGCTGAATAATAGGAAGCCTGAGGAGTGACAGAAACATGGTTATTATGTACAGCCGGCTGCCAAATGAAAGAAGGTCTGCCTAAACCTGTAGACCGATATTGTGGCGACTCAGGGACGGCGCATTAAGCTAAATAACGTGCCTCATAAAGCAGTTATGAACATGTTGACTATTGACACATCCAGCAGACCTGAGAACAGTCAAATGTTTCTGTCCACATGGGGAAAACCAGTATGATGTTTTTTTCTCTGTTTGGTTCTCCACTGACTTGGTCTGTAAAATACCAATTAGGATTTGTAAAGAACACAGATTGGAGCAGCTTTTGTTTTGTTTTCTGGCGGAGCCCTTTGAGGCCTGTTTCTGAACAACTGTAAGCTTCGGCCACAGCGCTCCTTCTTCTTCTGTCGCTCTATTTATAGCAAGCAGGACAGGATGCGGCACACAATACACTTGGAAGTAACACACCCTCAACCACGGCCCCGCCCGGGGGGCCCCGAGATCAATCCTCGCCTGGCTCCAGGGCCAGAAAACAATCTGGCCCTGCGCCCCACCCCCCCCCGCACTTTCTGACCTGCACACAGAGTAAGTACTACACACACACTCACTGGATATGTGCGGTGACACAGGAGGTCACACGTAGACATCCTGAGGGACATGGACATCATGTAGAAACTCTCTTATTTATTGCAAATCACATATATTTGACCTAATTAACAGTCACTTTATAAAGGACATAAATGTTGACATGAAGGCCGCCACTGATAATAAAAATCAACGTGTACCTGCACCTGCTTGCTGGATTTTTGAGTGTAATCATTGGGAAGAAAATGTTCTACCCTGCAAAACATACGTCTGCTACAGATATACAACAGATGAGTGGTACATGGTTGATTTGTTATCAACAAATCATTGATTTGTCATGTTGAAAAATCTCCAGTTCCATTGGTGACGCAGCAAACTGGATTGGCCAATAGAACATGGCGTCAGACAACTTCTGTCTCCATAGAAAAGGCCGACCGCTGACTCTGAAGTGCACGCAGTTGCTAGTGGATACCCTTCAAGGTGTCATGGAGTAAAGTAGGATAGCGATGAGCGCCTTTCATTTTTCCCGTATGGAGAAAAACATTTTTAAGGGGCGAGGCTTTAAATATTTTTCACAATCAGAAACAATGATTTGCCAAGTATACTAACTGTACTTAATCTGGTGAGATGTTGCAGCATTCAGTTGTTCATGGTGTCATTCCAGCCTGCTGTTTCTCATCTCGAGCTCTCCCTCCCCCAGGTGTGGCGTCTTGTTTTAGAGCGACCCCCGCTGACCCTGAGCTATCGGTGATACAGCCGTTTCTTAGCGGGCGACAGCGGCTGCTACCAGTGCCAAAGGCTTTTTTTACATCGCCCACTCATTCCTCAACACGCAGCCTGTGGAAACGCACACACACACTCCCTTCTTGTTTCGTCTAAGAAGGTTTACTTTAATGACTCACAATGAGGATAACATCACTCTTTTCTTTTTTTTATTAGTGGAGTGTTATGTTAAAAGTTTAAAAAGCAGAAAAAAAACTGCACTAGACAGTCTTTTTAAATGACTAATCTGTGAAATGACGCAGTGGCAGTACGCAGCAAGAAAAAGATTTAAACATTACGTTTTTCATTTTTGTTTCGTTTTTTTTTAGTTCACAAACTTGATAGAAACTGCGACCGGAAACACCTTTGACTCAAAAATGAAATGAGCATTCCGTTATGTTGTATGTATTTTTGTTTGTATTTGTAAAGTATTTATGGAGGCATTTAATTATATATAGCAATAGTATAACTTAAATGGAACAAGGGACCCAACATGTTTCACTTCCAAGAGCAACAAATGACCATACTGCTTTAAGTATTACGAACAAATATAAAAATAATACTATTATAGTTATTTGGCTTTTCTTTCAAAAGGCCAACTCATGAGCAAACCCAATGAACTGAAGCTGAGGTTGTCCTCTTTTTTATGCTTTTCTTACTCATATGTTGCTTTTAGACAGTAATCAACAAAATGAAAGAAACTGCCTTCTAATCAAATCACATCACATCAATTCAATTCAATTCAATTCATTTTATTTTGTATAGCCCAAAATCGCAAATTACAAATTTGCCTCAGAGGGCTTTACAGTCTGTACACATACGACATCCTGTGTCCTGAAACCCTCACATCGGCATCGACATCCCGGGATATGAGGCCACATAAAGCCTCTGAATGTACGTGTATGGTTTGATATGGTATAAGATTTACTGAGAGCATGATTGGATTAATGCACGTTTGTCAATTCTCTACACAAAAGCCAATCGGCAGCAAGTAGGATGGGCATAACTCATTGACGTCATAGTCCCCTTTAAAAAGCAAAGGAAAAGAAAACATAAATCCCTCGCCCAATCTGTTCTCTACCGAACAGTTATTTGCGGTATTTCGTCCGGTCCCTATAATATCCAGCGTAATGTATATTGGAAGAACGTGGTAGTTCTCAAACTTTTTCTGTCGGGCCCACTTTGGAGGGAGAAAAGTGTTCGGGTCCCACCGCCCCCAAAAAATGTAATAAAATAGTCCATGATGAATTTTTATTGAAATAACGACATGTGTGCTTTTATTAATAATAAACAAAATAAAATTTAAGTCACTTTCATGTAAACCAGATTGCTCCATCAGACAAAAAATAAATAAATAATGTGCAATCACTTTGTTGGAGCAATGTGAGTAAAGTTGTGCAAAAACATACCTAATATTTGTCAAAAATAGCTTATTGTAATGTGTAATTAGCATGTTTTGTACTGAATATCCTTTCAGGATAATAGCAAAAGTTCAACTTGTGAAAAATATTTGGCAATAAAGACTCCCCATGTGGGATTACTAAAGGATTATAAATAAAATAATAATAAAAATAAAATATATTTTTTTAAATAAAAAAAATCTTTTCCCCCAGCCCCTCGCGCCCCACCTGTAATACCTCCACGCCCCACCAGAGGGTTGCACCCCACAGTTTGAGAACCACTGATCTAGTAGAAGATACTTAAGTAGTCATTACTTATTTTGAAAGCAAGCATTACTCTTACCATTCCCCCAGAGTCTAAAAAGAAGTGGTCTGCTTTCTATCCATGCTTTGTGAACGTCGTTTTCTGGCCCTGGTGCCTGTGACCTGTGTGACCCCTATGACCCCAACTGTCACAGTGTGTGTAACTCATTCCTGCTTCGCTACACCTGTAGTTTGTGGCACGGTGTGACCTGTGTGATCGTGTGGGAATGGACCCGTCGTGCTTTCCCTGGCTCTTCCTCATACTTCTTGGCTCACTTCAGTGAGAGGAAGCACTTATTTTGATCATCTGTAACAAGTGTCGGCTTGAGGGACCGTCTCTGGTCTTCTGCCAGTTGTTTCTATTGTTCTCACTTTTGTTTGGATACACAACAGCGTTGGTGCCTAAGGGAAGTTGTTCTGCAGCATTCAACCTTAGAAATGATCATTACAAACTAAATCAAGTTAATAGTAGATAATCAACTCCGTAATAAGCAATAAGCTTTAAAGTCAGACAAGTAGAGAAGCCGCAGAGCTTTCCAGTGTTGATCCTGGATTCCCTGAGACTAAGTGGAAGTCCAGAGGAGGTCAGAGGGGGTTCTCCGTCTCCCTGCCCTTATAGGGGTCCCACTGTGGGTGAGACCGGGCTGACAGTGTGGCCATACGCTGGAGACTGCCGATATTGTCCTCCCTTCCCCTGTCTGCCATGTTGTAAATAAATGCCCACCATGCTGGAACAAGGTCCCACAAATGCCGCAACATGGAGGTGAAAAGACTGAAGACACAGAGTGACTGAAGAGACTGTTTTATAGCTCTGTGTCTAAGCAAATAATATTCCTATCCGTGGTCAGTGAGGTCAACACCAGTGGAGGGGATGTGCTGCGTGTTCTGGGTGGTGCTGGATGGGGTGGAGGTCAATCTAGATTAAGTGCTATGCTTGTGCCAGAGATTGATCCAGTATTACTAATACTAATATAACACAAAACAATTGAATAATACAGACTATATGAATAAAAAGGAACACTGACACCACTAAGAAATTGAATTGCAAAAAGAGTTGAATGAAGAGAGATGAATTAAAAAGTTAATTAAATGAGAAAAAACAGCAGTAGAAATGTGAGTGGTATAAGAAGTAATAATATTTGGAATGATATTTAAAAGGAATAAAAACATGTATTACACAGGATATATATTGAGACATACTGTATGTGCTACGTATACTGTATGTGCTACGTATACTATTGTGTGTGTGTGTACAACAAAGCCTCAGGCTTTGTTGTACACACAATGGAGCTGACACCAGATCAGATTTGTCACTACACAATTTTTGTGGCTTAAAATAATTTGCCATTTTATTACATCTGTAAATGAAATTGAGTAGAGAAAAGAGTTTAAAGGCAATGATACGGTCCAACCCATCTTTCAATCATTTTTCTTTGACAGTTGATTACAGCAATTAAATATGTATTAACATGATGTCAATATTTATTTTTTAACACTAGCAAAGTGACACCCTAAATGCAAATGGCAATTTAGTATAAACCAAAAATATTGAGATGCCACATCTTAAAAACACATGGGATGGACAGATAATTATCATAGGATTGCATAATCTTGTGTGTAGCCACTCTTGGATTTATGTGCACGTGAACATGAACAAATGGACGAGAGTATATAAATAAATGTAGCTGTCGCTCTAAAGCTGCGGCGGGACAAAGCTGGCCCGTTAGCTTGGTGACGGCGCACACAAAGGCCCCTACTGGCCCCACGTGCGGCCACGCAAGAACGGACTTCTCCCACCCCCACCCGCTGCAGCCGGGACATTTTCAAGCTTTTTTTCATCGTCCCATTGAGCTTTGTGTGAGGCTGGGATGGGGGAAGGGAGGGGTCCTCGCTTTACATTGTGCGCCCCGTGAAGCGAGGTGAGGAGTGTGAATGTAAAAACACTCGGTGGGAATAAAGGAGAGACGAGCCAAAGGGAGGGGAGGGGGAGAACGTGAAGAGGGGGGTTTCAAGACGCAGTAAATGGAAATGACTGACCACACACACACACACACACACACACTGGCACCCCTGCACACAGTATCCATAAACAACACACTCCCTGTCCTCGGAGACCAGACTGGTATGTGTGTTTATACGAACTGTGGGGTGAGCCTGTGGTAAAAGTTCAATGTTAGCACTTTGTGAACCCCCCCAATGACACGCACATGGACACACACCCCTCAGGACGGTAAGCTCTAACAACACATACAGTTATATATGAATAAGTGCCATATTTTTGGGGGAGTTTTTCCTGTGCCGATAGTGGGTTTCGGGACGGAGGATGTCACATGTGTACAGACTCTAAAGCCCTCTGAGGCTAATTTGTAATTTTCTGATTTTGGGCTATACAAAATAAAATGAATTGAATTGAATCCATACAGATAAATGATTGTAAACGATGAACAGTAATTGATGAATAAATCCATCTAATCCATGCGTTCATCGCATGTTTTTTTACACATGAAATAGAGACATGACGACGTGTGGCTTTCACAGTGTCTAATTCATGTCTGTTGACTGTAACACTTTTTTTAAATTTAAATTGAATTTAAAACATAAAAAAACAATGAGCTAAATAGACTAAATAGATTTGATTAATTTTGTTATTTTGATTTTAAGTTCTACATCGAGGGGTCATCGACATTTGACTTTTACGTATTTATGTATTAATTTACTTGTTGACACTTTCACATACACGGTTAGTGTTGGAAAATTACAACATGCCTTTGAGATAAGAGCAGTGGAAAAAGGTCCTGAACTGCAAGGCTGGATAACATGAAAGATAAATTAAAATGGAATTTGCTTTTTGATGAACAATCCAATAGGAGATGCTCAGCGTGAAGGCATGTTTCCTTTCAAACACACACACACACACACACACTTTGCCAATGCAGCAGCCGTTTTGTGAGGGGAGTTGACGCAAAGGGATGAGGCGGATGAAAAAGAGTGCTGAGAAAGTACAGAGGAACAGATGAAGGGAGGAGAGGAATGAGGAGGCTTCTTGACGGAGAGGAGGAGGGTGAGCGAAGGTCCGCCACGGTACCAGCCGCGAGCCTGATTAATGGACACCTGGGTGTGCAGCGCGGCATGCTGGGTAGAGGGAGGGAGTGCGAGGTTGGAATAGAGGTGAAGGCGAGCGGCTCTTTATCTGTGGCCTCTGACAGTGATGAAATGCTCAGCTTTACAGAGAGCAGAGATTCCTCCAAGAAGGAAACTTCCACATGCCATTCACGCCTGGCCTCTAAAGTAGGACCCAGTGCATCTGGATCCTGATCCGTACCCACACGGTTCCTAAAAAAAGGCTGCCGAGGACCTTCGGGAGTCCTCTGGGGAGGCCAGGACTGTGAGTGTCCTTTAGTGTCAAGTCAAAACAATGACTGCCTAATGAAAATAACTTTGCAGGTGTTAGTCTTTGCAAAGCTGTCCATCGTTATGACAACATTTCTACTTTAAATGATGAAGAGCGGTGCAAACTACAAATCCTTAGTATTGCCATCCATTTTTAAAAACAAATCGCAATACGCTGCGAAGATTTATTAGCAGAGAGTAAACATTTTCCTCAAGATAGCTTATCCGTTACAATAAACAGTACATTTGTCCGAGATATATATTTTTTGCGAGCAGGAACGGATTTAATGGGGCATTCAGGAACAAGTTGACAACTAATATTAGATCATTAGCTGCAGAAAAAAATTGGCATGGTCAAATTTAGCAGGGCACTGGTTAAAAACTGTGCGACGAAAGTAAATATGAGTGGTACTTCACATTTGGTCAAATAGTAAGCAGACCGATATATTAACAGATATAGTGATAACAAAATTTGTTTGAATAAATTAATGAAGTCCATAAATGAATAAATGGGATGACTTCAGAGCAGTTGAAATGGTATTTGGGATGTTGGCAAAAAAAAGTAAAATGTTCTGGAACCTTATAAACCAGCTGCTATAACGACAACATCAATCATCAATTATCGGCAAAAAGAAGTGGCAAAAGTAATAAAAACATGTTGTTCTTTGTGCTGATCCGATCTGTGATCCAGTCTGTGACTCTGACCAATATTACCATTCGACCCTAACTTTTTGAATCCTTTGCACCACTAATAATAACTCCTCATCCTTATTATACCAAATAATGTATCTGCACATAGTGTTTAATGTTATTAAATGAAGCCTGGGGTCCTGAAGAGTGGGTCCCGGTGGCTGAGTGGGACAGTCTGGCTCAGGGACGTCACCGTACACCGCGACCTCATTGGGAACTGCGACGTTGAGAATGTTTATTGCCATCTACTGTTCTCTCTCTTCCATGTGCGCCAGCCAGCGCAGACACCGGACGAGTAGCGGGCAGCGTCTCTCCGGGCCACTGGTGTGCAGACGGCTGCCCGTTCGTTATCTTGTAGGAAATGAAGAAGTCATGAACCCACCAACGCATGAGAAAGACGCTCTGCAGAGGGGTTAGGAAGTCCTGCAGAGGACTGATAGTTCACAATGCTGCCTTCTTCCTAGTCTAGTCTAGTCCAGGATCTGGATACTTCATCGGACCCCCGCCATGTATTTTTTACTTTCAGATTCAAGTGGCTGCAGTTAGCAAGAACATTCTTGGAGCTTCAGAGGCTTCAATTGGGAAAGCGAAATGTCATTTTCACATAAAACCTGGTGTTTATGAGGAGACAGAAGTGGAAATACATGCCCATTCTATGTGTGAGAAGCGTTTGTTCAATAATTGTCATTGCGATGACCCATTTTGAACAACTTTGTCCCCAGAACTTTAGGGTAACAAACAAGTTTTGAAACATCGTCGGAGTTATGAGAAGATTGATAGCAATCTCATATCTCTTCAGGAAAACACAAGCCAAATATGTGCAGGACTTTGTCTTGGCAGGGTCAGAAACTTCCTGAAGTCTTGTAGTCACCGCGACAAACTTCAGGAAGTGACTGCACGCAGCCAAGAAGGAGTCGAGCACATTGAGGGCCCTAATTAGTACATTCAAAGATGGGGGCTTCTGGAGTCACCTCAGCGGCTTTGTGGCGTTCTAAAGGATGCATTTATTTGTGAGTCCGTCCTTTTACTAGTGATTGTGTGCTTGGGGAAAAATCATCACGGAATGATCCTGGTTTCGGGATTTTGTTTAGGGCGTTTGGTTTCATTTGTTCATTTCTTAATTGTACTCTACTTGCTGCCTCATCAGCTCTTCATCAGCTTTAGTTTTTTATATGAGTACCATTTTTAGGTTATTAATTAATGTACTCCCGCTCAGGGACGGTAAACTGACGAGGATGACACTACTGTGTACGGTACATTAACCCTACCACGTTATGGAGTCACAGTATTTATTAAATGACCATCTATCACACATGCAGTTATTGTGATAACAGGCCGTTAAACACACAGATCCAGATGCACGTTAACATGTAAAGAAAAAACATGGCAGGCCTTTTTTTTTTGTTGAAAAAAGTGCTGATAGATTGTGTTTTTGAGCCTTCACACATAAGAAAATATATAAATAAAACAATGGCCTCCCATGTGAACCCACCTACTGTATTGGCGGGAGAAGCAGGTCCATAATTAAAGAAAAACACTTTCCAGGCCTCCCAGCCAGGGAGGGAGGTCAGGGGTGCGCTTCATTATTCAGGCTCCTTGTGTCCACAGCTATTTGAGGACTTCTTTTGATTGTGTGTGTGGTGGAAGGAGGGAGGGGGCTTCGATGGGAGCCCTTAGCGGTGAAATGGTGGGAGATGGAGGGGCTGATGTTTTAGACTCCTAATTACTACTTTTCTTCAGATTCCATACGGTCCAGCAATAGTCTGCTTCCCGAACAGAGCGACAGCAGTGCAGCGGAGGGGGGAAGTAAGGGGTTTGCTGTTCAGACGATTTCACTCAATTCGCTCAATTTGTGCACAAATGAAGCCACAAAGACAAAAAGGCGTGTTATTGGCAACAACCCTGGTTAGCAGCAAGTTTGGCAGTGTTTCAGTGTTACACCAATAGGATTGGGTGTTCTTTGCTTCTGAGACAGAACGTGTCCACAAACCGAGGGGTCGAGGCTGTCCAGCGTGTGACGCCGCTCGTCGTGTTCCCCTCATTTGATATGAAGTAACATGTACTAACGTGTATCTTTTATGTGGTATATGCTTCATGTCGACGTCTAAATTTTCATACACAATTTCATCTATGGTATGAAAAAGGCTACATGTAAAAAAAAATAATAAAAAAATAATAATGTTGTTTATAGGGTAGTAAAATATAGCCCTGTATACTACAATAAAGGATCTTAGGCAATTCAATCCGGCTGTGGAGTTAATAAAGACAAATCAAAATGATTTTGGTAGTTGTGTCGTAAAACACTTTAAAGATGCTATAATTCTTCATTTTATACTTATACTATTTCCATGTTCTGCTTAATATCTTAATACTTCTACTACATCAGAGAGGTGCCTTTTACACTCATTGTGTATGAAAGACGTCTAGAATTTTTTTTTAGCTCAAATAGTCGGCAAATATCATTCAAAGATAGTATGAGGTATTTTTATTAGTTCCTTGATTAGATGAGGATACCTTTTACACACAGAGGAGTGATTCCGCAGTAATTTATTATACTTTTTCTCATTCATTCATTCAGTGCTCCCTGTTGACTTGTTTTAAACCCTCCGCATCTTTTTGCAGTTTTTAAATCATGCTGCCACTTCAACTGCTTTCACTCGTAACGCACTTTACTATCACAGAGAAAATCACGTTCCAGCATTGTAGCAGTCACAGAACCATCAATCCCAGCTGTATATTTAAGTCCGATGGTACTCACTGACTGACAGCAGCAACGATGTGATCCTCTGAGTCGCTCTCATCCTGTTTCGTCCTGCTTCTTATCCTTCATGCAGCGCAAAACCACCGGTTCCTTCGTATCTGGAGGCGAACAGGGATGATGAGCTTGAGTCTGTCCTGTCACGCCTTTCTCCTTCACTCTCTGTCACGTTAACAAGCTCGCCCAACTTATTATTCACTTTTTTTCCCCTCTCTGCTTCTTCTTCTTCTCTTAAACTGAAAGCCAAGAATGCTTTTGTTTGTCTCCACGCTTTCTTTCTTTTTTTCCCCGCGGGGCACTTTGAGGATTTGGGGGGGGGGGGGGGGGGGGAGTGTTTCCGCGGTCTCCTTGGCTGTAGTGTTGTAGCTCAGCGTCCCTCTCTCCCTCTCTCTCTCTGTCTCTGCCTTGTCTCCCACCGTGCCTTGATGCTGTGCTGTGCTCAGCCAAAGTGTTCTGCTGTTAGCAGGAGGCAGCGGCCCCGGAGCCCGGCCCCTGCCTCCCCTTATCATGAGGAACCAGGGGCAGAGCCAGTCCGGTCCAATCCCAGAGCCCAGGACTCGCCGCTGCCGGGACATTTTTGAATAACAAAGGAAGCCGCGAGACAATGCTTTCCCCCCCCTTGGTTTTGATTCATTTTCTAAAACGGTCCATGACTCAAGGACAGGGGGGTGAAGCAAGTCACCATCGGCACGAATGTTGTTTGATCTCGGTAAGGCCTGTTGAGATTCACAGAGTCAGCGTGTCTCCGCCTGAACTCCTTCCCCACAGGTTACAGGGCAACACGCGGCTGCTGCCTGAGCTTCTGCCCTAAAAGCCTGAGGTTGGACTTCTGTCACAATGTAAAACACAAAATAAAACCTCAGCCATACAAAGTGTGCATACACAGCGGTCCTATTTTATGCTGACATGGAGGATGCGTTGCTCCAAACACAAGATTGCAGGAGGGCAGATGAGTGCAGAACATGGATGCAAGAAGAAAATAGAAATTGTTTTAAAGGTTGTTCAAAGTGGCGCGTGAAGGCCCCAAAAAGTTTGTTTTCCGACGTAAAAATAACTTTTGTTTCACATCTATGGGCCCATAGAGAGGACGCACCAGCGTTTCCTTTAACCTCACATCCCACTGGATTAGGAAATAAGTGCATTTGTTCTGATGATTTAAATAAGGGTGATTAAATAGTTTGAAAGGGAAAATTCATTAAATGTAATTCCCGAGTAATTCTAAGGGGGAAAGTAGTTTTGGGCCCAAAAGTATCAAATGAAGGATCTGTAAGTTTGGCTTCCTCCATTTGGCCACTACGCCAAATGAACTTCAAAGCCTCCCGCGGGGGTGGGTGCGGGGGGTCTGAGTGGTCACATTTCCAGGAGGAGGACACCCTCTAATGATGGTGTTTACTTCCTGTGGGCCGTCACAGGCTCATCAAGTGGAACTATCATGACATAAAGTAATATCACAAGGACGAGGAAGAAAAGATGTAGCTGTGGTCCAGCTGTTTTAGTGTGGGTGAATACTGTTTTCACATGTCAGCTTGAGGCCTCGCTCTTTAAAAAATATTTATATTATTATTTTTTATTGGACAACAAAAATACAGGTCGGCGTCAAAGAAGTGTTCCTTATTCAACTGCATGAGAAACGGATACGTTAGCAGAAGTATTCCAAGTCGTCCCTCTTCTATTGCTGGCATCGATGAAATGCTGAATAACAATGTATTCCTTCTCCATTAACCCACAATGACAGTTTAATTTACTTCAGAAATGGGCACATTGGTCCAGCTGGCACTGTGTGTTACTTTTGGCTTTTGGATTAAAGTCCGGACGTTCCTTCAGATTGCTGCGCCGCAGGAACCACAGAGTTGACTCAGTCGCTTGTAGCCATGACAACGGATATTCACAAATGTCCCAGGAATGGCTTTTCAGGGCTCTTCTGCTTGCCTCCTTTCATTTCGCTCCAGATCTCCATTGACTGACAGGTGGACTTAATCTCAAGCGGACTCTGAATGCTAAATGCACCAACAACAACAAACATTTGAAACATTTTTTTAGAGGAGACTTTGTAATCATCTGACTGCCAGTGAGAGCTTGGGGACGTCATGCAAGCTCCAGTTAATGCTGATGGGAGGTCTGGGAAATAAATAAAGATACAATCAGGGGTGTGGAGGTTTTCTTTGGTGTTTCCTGCCACTGGAAATGTTAGGAGTCGTTAATAACTAGCTTTAGAGACATTAGTAGATCTCCAAAAACATACCCCAAAGGTTCTCGCTGTGAACTGTGTGTGTACACGTGGATTGGGATTGTTGTGCATGGATTGTGTGATGTATTTTTGTGTTGCATGGCGGAGTGGGAGATTTCTGACCAACAGACTTGTTTGCTCATTACATTCGATACCACAACCTCATTCCTGTGATCCTCCCAAAATCTATCGCTGATAATGAATGCATCCTTTAGTCAAATCCCTATAATTCAATGCTATGTGTTCATCATGACGCTGTACGGACGTCAGGTCACTTAAACTGTAAGGAGCCAGAAGGTCGGCGTAGGGAGGAGGACAGGGGGGATGGGATGCGTCAAACAGATCTATGTACCCTCCATCTGTCCAGTTGTAGATTGATGTAACGCAAAGTTCAGTCTATGTTTTACGTGCATTAACGTACAAACAGAACCACAAAATATTGTGGTTTGGTTTAGTGTGGAAGGAAGTGGCATACACGAGTTACTTAATAAATAAGTAAATGACCAAAATTCCCACACAGCATTCACAGTATAAGCAGGTAGACCACAGGCCTGTTGATGGAAGCACAGCCTCCGGTTCCCGCAGGTTAAAATACACAGCGCCGTTAACGCTGTTAGCCCCGTTAGCCCCGTTAGCTGCCTCTCCGGGCTCAAGCAATGGTGGGGATTACATCCAAAGGGCTTACGTGGGTTATGTAAGAATTACAGCTGTATAAAGCACAAACACAGAAACAATGTGGAGAGCACGTGGAAGAGCTAACGCATGGCACAGGGGATGAGAACTAGTTGCTCTAATTTATTATTATTATTGATGTTCACGTCCTTTTTCTAAAATGATATCCCTTCTTTTAAAAAATATATATAATCAAAGAAACATTTAAATGTTTTATATGAGCAAAGATATCCAAAAGAATGAAGTGTTTTGACACAGGCTGTAATATTCGCAAATAATATGATTATTATTTTACTAACGTTTGTTAAGTTTGTTAATATAGTAATATAAGCTAATATACAGGTACAAACACACGTACTTGACCTCATGTTTAAGTATGTTGGTTCTGTTGCATAGTCACAGTATAATATTAATGCCTATGACCGACACGGTATAACTTTAAATGGTAAATAAATAGGAATAAACTGGCAGTTAAATACACGGACATGTGAGCCGGGGGACTGCTAGCGCTTATTTTGATCCACTATAAGCTATAAGTATATTAGTTTATTACTTTCTTCTGCTAAAAGCAGTGTGTAAGAACAGCGTGAACAAACACAGGACCTTCACACAGGAGATCGATGTTTGTGTACCGATTGAAACCAAAAGTCAACTTCTTAACGCTGACTAACTTGGATATAATAATTCATAATAAGCAAACATATTGACTGCAAAACCGTGATCCTGCCCTCAGCCTAACCCAGACTAGTGTTTGAATCCACTACATGTTAGCGAGCCCCCGCGTGATGACAATTAGGAGGGCATTACATTAAGCAAAATGCTGAATACATGTAGAGGTAACGGTATTAGTGCCCTCACTTACCACACGCCTTTATTTCTGTTCATCATTTTATGAACGCAGAACTGAAGTCGCCTGGTTTGCACTCACACTGATCAACATGCCTGCGGCCCGTAGGAGGGACGTCATAGTGGCTCTAGATTTCACCCTCCATTCCTTCTGTGTGGCCTGGACGACTCACCTCATCAGGCCAGTTAAGTCCAAGATCAGTGCGATAATGACAGACAGGGAGTGTTGTGTGTGTGGAGGAGGAGTGGAGGGGGGGAGGGTGGATGTGTCCCAGAGCTTCCTGGATGTTGGTATTTGTTTCTTTGTCATTGTTCTTAGGGAGTATGCTCTTTTTCTACTTTGATGTGGACTTCATGCCCCTCACGAACTGCTGATCACATCAACTTTGTGTCTGGCGTTTAACTTCTGAAGGCTAACGCCTAGATCACATGTCATTTAGCTGATTCTTTCATCCAAAGTAACCTATGGTTTTATAACCCGGGGAGCAGTTAGGGGTCGGGTGTCACTTTGACATGAGACATGGAGAACCGCCAACCTTGCCGCTCCCGGTGCACCCTCTCTACTCCATGCGCCACCGACACCAGAACCTACAGTATACCTGCTGGGAAAAAAATAGACTGCAAAATACAAACTGAAAAATAGTTTCCAGGTGAAAAAGTTTTTAATGCAGTTAATAAATCAGTCAAACAACTAAAAGAGGATTGTCTAATTGATTAGGTATCAGCCTGACCCCCGTATGGAGGAGTCACTGTGAAAAGAAAAAACAATCTCTTTTTTAACGGGCAAAATGAGTTGAGTTCAAAAATGTAACTGAACATTTATTTTGTTGTTTTTTATGTATCTAGATTAGAATTTTGTTGTAGACAAATGAAGAACAAATGTAGAGTGCATTCTTTCTTGTACCCCCCCAACTCCTCACCAGTAACCTCCTCAGCACCTCTTTGCGCTGCAAGAACCCCGACACACACACACACACACACACACACACACACACACACACACACACACACACACACACACACACACACACACACACACACACACACACACACACACACACACACACACACTCCTCCACATGGCATTCCCCTCACACATCTCTCCCCCATGTGGTTCCCCTCCCGGCTCAAACCTCCCACCTCGGGGCTCCTTGCAGCTTCTCTCCCAGAGCATCTCAGCTCTCTGAAATTCCCCTGAGACGTGGTACCAATCACACAGAGATAAGATTCTAATCCCCCCTGATTATTTAGTGCTTTTCTTTTTATCAGCTCTGAGCAGAGTTACTGTGGTTGACGGTCTGGAACATGAGTGAACGTTTTCTCGTCTCCTTGTTAAGACTTGACGGATCCCAGTGAGCATTTCTACAGATCACATGTGTATTATTGCCACCGAAAGCCACGGACTATTATATGACTTACGTGATGATTGAAGAGGGATATACTGCATTGTAAAGGACTAAATACACAGAACTACATTGACCAAATCAATCAATTGATTACTGAATAAAGTGAGTTACACGGTACAAACAGATAAGCCCCTTAACAAACCCGTCATGGTTACTCACTCACCAGATCCAGTTTGGTCAAAACAAACCTTTTATCCATTAAGTGCCAAAATATTCTGGGTTGAGAGTTCCTTTCACTGCTTCTCTGAGCCTGACCCACATCTCACTCCTCCTAATATTTATACACCTAAGGCGCCAATTTAAGGGTTTATT